TAAATTATATGACCTTTGGGTGAAATCAACCACTACAGATACACATTCATAGCAACCAATCAATATTGTACTATTACCATGGCACCCGATAGCTTACAGTGGAATATTCTCATTCTGAATCTGGAAATAGCATGCCTTGAGTGTTGTAAACATGATGCCTAGCTTGCCATTTACAACCTCATGCTCCATTAGGTCCTCAATAAATTGGATTTCAGACCCAAGATGACGAATCCTAATAAAAACAATGTAACAAAACATAATATTAATATATTAATAATGTAATAATATAAATTACAGTATTGAAATGAAATGAAATTATATTCAAAGAATAATGTATTTGTATTATAAATTTGATGGTATAATGCACAAATGAAACATATAATTTTTATAATTATGTTAATTTTTTGTTACTTGCTTGTGTGCATTTCGTTAAGAACATTTGTAAATTCTAGTTTTGACAGGCATATCTTTTGATGACCGTGTTTTTCACTTTTGCCTGTTCTGGTATCTTTAAATTTGCTAATTATTTGCTGTGTTGGTTTGGTTGCTAATTTTGTTTAGAATTAGTGGTTGGTTTATGTATTATTTTCTTGTAACTTGTATAAAAGTGAAGTTTTATTTGTATGTATTTATACATATATTGATATCGAATACACAATAATAATAATAATAATAATAATAATAATAATAATAATAATAATAAAATCAGTTTCTATTAACATCTATATATGTATATTGTGATGAAGGACTTGTTGTATAAAAGCTCTCGTTCCATCTGGCTTTCAACTTATATTGTTCTAATATCCTTTTAAATAATTTTTAAAGGAATCATAGAAAATTATTGTGAACAATATAACAAGGTCCATAAATATAATAGATTAATGAAATATAAATAACAATAAATTTTAAATTATCAGTTTCGCTGTACATTAATTTTTAAGTAACATGAATATTGCTCACTTTTATAGTGTAATCAACGGGGATAAAAGTAAAATAAATATTTTATATCACTATTGTTTTTTTATTCTATTCAGTGATGTCTCTGGGGGTGCATGAGGGTGTGAGGGGGGTGTGCATGCCCCGCCTAAAAAATCTTACCACCGCCGTCGCCCCGAATTGAAAATGTTTGAAGCAAAAAAATTATGCTCAAGTAGATCAGAATCACTTCATAGCACCTTATTTTGTGAACTAGTGCCCTCACCCCACCTCACTTAATTATCTAACCCCACACCTCACGCCCCCATTTAAAGACTTGGGTAAACCACTGTTTTTTATTATTATTAACAAGAATAATAATTATAACAATATCATCTTAACGACTAAAACACATTTCTATATCATGTCGATAAAATACACACTTTGGTGGGATTTATAATAATTATTTTACCTAAGGTGATGTTACTATCCTTTTGGATGGTTGTTCAAGGTATCACTGAAAATGTATTGTCAAAAATTTAAAAAAATTGTGGAAGTGGTTGGTGCAACAGTAGTGGCTGGGACTCTCAACCTTGATGTTGGGGGTTCAAACCCTCAATGTGCAAGTTGCTTGTGCCCCTGGGCAAGGCAGATTATCCATGTTGTTTTTCTCCACCTAGAAGCATAATGGGTACCAGGAGGTTCAAGTGCCAGTACAGGGGTGGATCCAGGATTTAAAAGAGGGGGGTTCAAAATTTTTCCAAAAAACCCCCAAAATGAAAGGGGGGTCCGGAAAAATTTTGATTCCTAGATGGCCGGAAATGAACTTTCCCGACTTCTGAGGAGTCTTTTAAGTCCTTCAAAATTCAAGGTTTTCCCCCTCTTGAGAAAAGGTCAGGAAATTTTATCTCATTCTTTAGGCCTATCATAGAGGGAAAAAAATCAGGCAATATATTATTATATTCCAACAACCTCGAGTAGTTAGATGTAGTCTTTTTTTCCATGGATCGATGAACCGATAAGCCTGAAGAACGCACTTTCGTATATAAATTATTACGACGGTGAACCAAAAACAGTGTGTATAATTTATTTAATTAAAAACTAGTTGGGCTAATCCTACATATAGTTTGTCTGATCTTCCAACCTATGTCTAGGTAGGTTAGCATGCCTTTTGTAAGCCAGGACCCAGTTGTATTTTGTTATGTTTCTTCACAGAGGGGGGGTTCGTCTGAACCCCTTGTACCGCCCTTGGATCCGCCACAGCAGTACGCTGACTTTATACTAAGGGAGCTTAGTATATGAGGCTTGCCATCGCAAACCGGTATTGGTGACCAAAAATGGAAATTGACTTTTTAATATATTCTTATTCTCCACATTAAAATGATGGGTCATTTACTGGTATCAACTTACTATTCATAAGAGTTATGAGTAAAATTTATTACAGCTTCTTTGTATCAAAAATACTGTCAAATTCTTATGCTAATAACTCAGTTTAACAATTAGCGACAGTATGTGGTTTTGGGATAGTAAGTCTCATAATAATTCAGGTTTATTTTATTCACATAAAAAATATGAATATATAAAACATAAAATCACTCATTTGTAGCAAGAGCTGAATTAGGAGCAAAGTTATTAGTAAAATATTGGCTAAAAATACTATATAATTGAGGAGATGAATACAATATTTACACATTGAAAACTGAATTACATTGCCAAACGAATAAAAAATTACTGAAATAAACTGCATTACTAATAAAA